TTTCTGTTTTTCCCAAGATGTAATATTTACTTGACTATAAAATACCTATTAAAAATATACATCACTGTATAATACAAGCCACCACCTATCTCAAAATTTCGATTCTCTCTCCCTTTCTCAGCTCTCCTCCCCTTCCTCTGCTCTGACCCCATATTTCACACACACTCACACACACACACACACACATCTTTTTAAGACAGTGAAATATTACTGTAAGTAGTGGTTTATTTCTGCTTTCTATGAAAATGATAATAAGAATGAGTCCTCTTTTTGTACCTTTTTGAAATGTAATAGCAGGATTCGAAGAAGTCATCACCACTTATTTCTCCTTTTGAATTTACAGAAAGTTTTATTTATCTTCTAATTGTCTAGCATTCTTAGGATAACATATGCCTATAGGCTTTTTCCTTTAAAATAACTCTGAAGAGAAAACTCTGATTCTATTTCATTGATACAAGTTTGCTGCCTTCCCTCAGATAATTCTGGTCAGTACTTTATCACTAATTAGACTTGTCTGGTACATACAGTATTCTAGACACAGTACAGGAGATAAGGAGACAATTCTTCCTTTAACCAATCTGTAGTTTCTATAGCTAATCATATAAGAGGTGAAATATCAAAGGATATTTTTGTACACATTGTATTTGAGTTAGTTGTATCCTATCCATCTATGGCTTCAAAATTAATGTTTTTCTGCAAGTGAGAATAAAAGTTCAAGACAAAGATAGCCAGTAGCTTTGTGGTTTCATCTGTCTTTTCCAAGGTGACTGAATTAGTCATTGAGCTACTGGTAGCTCTCTACATAGAAGTTGAGATTTTCAAGTCTTCTGATAAAAAATGAAACTTTCAATTTGGTTTGTAGAAAAGATAAAATCAATGCCCTGTGTAAAGTATTGTCTTCCAAGCCTGAAGACTCTATGAGAAAAAAAAAAAATGTATGATTTCTTCCAAGTGACAAACAGAAGGTGGATTTCATCTGGGAGACAAATTTCACTGGCATTCTTTGATATTTATCCTAGAAATACCTTTACTCAGATTTGATGAGGTGGGTCTGTTTTTCAAGGATACAAAATATACTGTGCAGATATAAAAGAGAGAAAAATGTGGGTCTCTGTGTCAGGACTGCCCTTTCATTCCTAAGACATTTACAAAATGCAGAGTGAATTCTGCCTTGTGAGCGTGTTATCAGCCCCACATGAGGGAGTCCCCAGCCTTTTTCTCTGTTTCCTGGTCACTCCATCCATTCCTTGGTTAACACTGGCTTTTGATCTCAAGTAAAGAAGCAAAGAGAGCAGCTGTGAGTCAATTCTGAAAGACAGCCACCTCTCCGTGTCAGAATTCTCAGATGAACTCAATGACTGCCTGAATTCTTTGTGCTGGTGGTAAACTCCATGTAAAGCCTCCCACTATTTGCCTACCACTTCCTCCAGTCCTCCACTTTGACTGAACACTTCAACTTGGCTAAGATCACTTTTCGCCTACTGAATTTGACCAGACACCAATGCTGACTAATTGCACTTTAAATGTATTTCTGCAACCCTCCAGAAGCCTTGGTGCTATGTGACTAATCTGCTTGCCAAGTAGTTCCCTTTCACTGTCCTGTGACATTACTACTTTTTCTATTTCATATTTTTTGCCAGCACACATTTATACTACATTTTCATCTTTAAAAATAAGATTTCATTTGCAAAAAAAAAAAAGATTTCATTTGCCCCTCCATCCCTTTCTAGCTCTTGTCTCATTGCTCTGTTCCCTTTATAACAAAACTCCTCAAAAGAATTGTTAACTTCTGTTCCCCTAGAGTTAGGGTATTAGGCATAGAGACCCATGGCTGTAAATATTTACAGGGTTAACACTCTGATTCCAAGGGACCAGGAGTTACTGCTCTTAGGATCCTTCCAGACGTTGCCTTGTGTACCTTGTCATCTGGCTGTTCAGTTGTATCCTTAATAAAAATGGTGAACATACATATATTCAAATAACTTCTAACTTTATGCTTGTAACTCCAACCTCTCCACAGAAATATGGAATCATATATTTCTAATTGCACTCACGACTTTTATCCCTTTGAAAGTCTAATAGGCATTTGGAATTTACAATGCCCAAAATTTATTCTCCACCACTCTTCCAAGAAAAATTCACCAATATACTACATTGTAATATAGCACATTACCAGGTTTTATTTTCCCCATGATCTGAGTCACCCTGCCATTGCATCACATTTCTTTATTTATACCCCACTTTGCTCACTGGTGTATAGCCCTATGTCAGCTGGGTCTCTTTTGTTATTTATTCCTTATAGTAAGTAGAATAATTGTCCTATAAGGATGTCCCTGTCCTCATCTCCAGAATCCGTGTTTCTCTATGTGTCATAAATGACTTCATAAATATGATTTAAAATGTTGAGATAGGGAGATTATCTGGGGTTATCACAGTGGTACTTCTGAGGGAAGGTGGGGACGAAAGGAGACATGACCGTGGAAACAGAGAAAGGTGGGGTGCAGCAAGAGTTGTGGGTTGCAGGCAACCTCTAGAAGCTGGAAAACACAAGAAGTAGCTCCTCACTGACAATAGATCCTTTTCCCAGAGGAAAAAGCCTCTGCCAGTACCTTGATTTTAGATCTGTAAGACTTGTTCTGGACTTCAGACCTCCAGAACTTTAAGATAATGTATTGTTTTCAGACACTAAACAATTTGTTATAGCGCTGTAGAAAACTAATACCTGGTTTCTGCAGCATCAGGAAATTTTCCTGGCACACAGGTATTAAGTGATTTTTTAAATGAATAATATGTCTTCATTTCTTTAGACCCTAAACACAGATTTTTGAAGCCCTATTTTAAATGTTATCACTAGAAATAAATGATCCAGTTTTTCTTGAAAAGTAATATTTGCTTTTATTTTTGTCCAGGCAAGAGAGAAGTTTTGTTATCCTTGCCTGTTTCAGGGTGTGTGTGTGTGTGTGTGTGTAGTGATTTTTAAATCTCAGAATGTTAGGAATGAAAAGGATCTAAAGGGTGCTCAGTTGAATTTCCTGATCTGATGTTTGTATATTTCTGAGAAGCGACCACCCAAGTCTATTTTAGAACCTTCAATGATGGGAAATTCACTGTAGCTAGAAAGGTCAAGACCACTTTCGGATAGACATTTCTGACATTTGTGTGTCTTGTTTTCTACTTACAGAATTAAAGCAAGACTAGAAAGATATAAATCCAACTGACTTATTTTAACCCACTTATTAAACATATATCTAAAGTTCAGGCATTTATTTTCTTTATTATGAAATGCCTACTTTTGCCTTTACATTTGTCAGAACATCCTTATGCTGTGCCACCGGAAACCATCAAATAAGCTTTTGAGGAATAAAGTCTGATTTACTCTCTTATACCATATACAAAAAAATAACTTAAAGCTGACTTCTATGTGAGACCAGGAACCATAAAACCCCTAGGAGGGGGTATAGAAGAAAAGACAACAAAACTAAAAATTAACAAATGGGACTACATCAAACTAAAACACTTCTGCCCAGGAAAGGAAAATATCAACACAATGAAAAGGCAACATACTGAATAGGGGGAAATATTTACAAATCACATATCCCATAATGTGTTAATGTACAAAATACACAAAGAACTCATACAACTTAATTTAAAAATTTCATTGAAAAGTGGGCGGAGGAACTGAATCAACATTTTTCTAAAGCAGCCTTACAGACTTTCAACAGGCTGTTGAGAAGATGTTCAATGTCAGTAATCTTCAGAGAAATACAAGTCAAACCACAATAATGTGTCACCTCACAAATTTCAGAATGGCTATTATCAAAGACAGGAAGCAAGTATTGGCAAGAATATGAAAAAAAGGGAACTCCTGTATGGTATTGGCAGGAATGTACAGTGGTGCAACCACTATTGAAAACAGTAAGGAGGTTCCTCAAAAAAATAAATAGACCTACTATGCAATCCAGCAATTCTACTTCTGGGTGTTCATCTGAAGAAAATGAAAATACCTATATGGAAACAAACTTTTTGTCCATTGTTGGATGAATTGGTTTTTTTAAATGTGGTATATATATTCAGCCACAGAAAAGAACAGATCTTGAGACATTTTGCTAAGTGAATAATAAGTTAGATGGAGAAGGAAAAATACAATATATTCTCACTTACTTGTGAAATCTAAGCAAAGAAACAAGAAATCCTAAAGACATAGATACAGGGGACAGATTGGTGGTACCAGTCTGTGGGGTGGAGTGGGACGGGAAAGGATGAGTAGGCAGAGTGGGTGAAGTGGGGGGACAATGAGCAAGAGGCATAAACTTACCCTATGAAGAGTATTCTAATATTTCTGTGTGTGTATTTGTGTGTGTGTATACAAGTATATGTACAACATTCTGATTTTACATTTATTTGTTGGTAAATACTTAGATTGCTTCCACCGTTGGCTCTACAAATAATGGTGCTGTGAACATTGATATACAAATATCTGCACAAGTCCTGGCTTTCAATTCTATTGGATACATACTTAGAAGTGGAATTGCTAGTTCATACGCTAATTGTCTTTAACCTCTTAGAAACAGTCAAACTGTTTTCCATAGCAGCTGCACTCTTTTATATTCCTATGAACAATGCATGAGAGTTCCAATTTCTCTACATCCTCACCACTTGATATTTTGCATGTTTTAAAAACAACTTAATCACAAAAAAAAAAACAGCTTAATCAATGCGATCATTGTTTTAAAATTAAGATGTAGACAACGTTTAACAATCTTAATGGTAGGCTACCTGATCACTCCGATATATAGAGTTTATTTCATTTTAAAAGTTATGATTTTTCTCTGTTAACTTAATTTCCATACTATAATTGTAATTTCATAATTTGCTATAGTTAAGAGCAAATAATTAAATGAAGACTGGTATAATTAGAAGAGGTATACTTGAAGCATGTGTATGTGTAATTTTAAAGTATGGAAAATAAACCTCTTCCAATCTTTCCTATGATTTCAAAGACAATGGAAAACACAGTTAGAAATCCAGACAAGGGTGAAGATATCTGCAGATCTTTCTTGAACCCTTCTTTAATGTCATCGGAATATTCATCAGCAACTTTGAAAAAGAAAACAGAAGACATGAGTGATTTCCCATCTGAGAGTCAAAGAAGCATACCTCTTGCTGTGACTGAGGCCTTAGAGCATATCATGGAACAGCTCAATGTTTTGACACAGGTGGGTTGTTGTGCTTTGCACTTTGGAGTAAGATGTACAAAACAATCCTGGTTATAACAGGTTGAGAACTAGCAGAGCAAAGGAAAAGCTTTCCTTTCTAGCAAGGCAAATTCAAGATAGCCATCAATCTGGTAGTGCGTTACTGGACTGTTCTAGCAAGATCTTGCAGAGGTAAGGGCAGAGTCTCTGGGCATGCCCTACACACCCCTGCTCAGTGCATCTGGCACCCAGGGGCAAAAGGAAGAACAGCGATGGTGTTTTCAGATTAAGGCATTATCAAAGAAATATTTAGAGCCATGAGAAAAATGCACTAGTTAACCATTTCTGGTTAGAATAAAATATTAGCAAGGTTTATAGTTCTTTCACTCTGAAAAGAATTCTGACTGTCCACTATATAAGTTCTCTACTTCAGAACTTCTTGCATCGACGCTGTTTTCTTGAAGTGATGGTTTTGCATTCCAATGTTAGAGTTTTCCCTGGTCTTTCAATGCCAATTTACCATTTACCTTTGCAATGAAGGAATCTGTGGATCTTGGTCTGGAGATAGAGAAATCATTTAAGGGAAGTGGTATGTTGAAATGGATACACCAAAGATTTCTCTTCCGGCTCTGCTGATTCAGTGTCTCCTTAGAGAAGTCCTATTGTTCCTCTTTGATATATATAGAAGAGGACACCAACATTTGGCAGAGAAAATTTTGTCACAATCTACAGAAAGAGAGGCTATGATGTGAACTAGAGAGATGTTAGCTACTTTTCCAGAATAAATATTTCAGGTTGAAGTAACTCTTACATAGAAATCATCTGATTTTGTTTTCAACCCTGACTCTGCATTTTAATTACCTGGGCAATTAAAAATGTACAGGTGTTCAGTTCTCATCTCCAGAGCTCCCAAAACCTGAGAGCAGTTTATACGATGCTAATTTACAGCCAAGGTTTAGTTCAATGAATATGTTTTACCCTGTAGATGACATCTTGGGGCCTTCCATGTGGATGTAGATGTAGGATCCACTACATATTGTGGGAAAGACTGAGGACTTGGAGTCATCTTAACTTTTGCTCAGTGAAATTTGCATTAAAATGGCCAATTTTCACTTTGCACTATTGTTCTGGAGGGAACTTTCTCAGTGTTTATGAGACATTTCCTTCCTCGAAAGGCAGTTTCCCTCCCAGCGTCCTGACAAATCTGGCTGTGATTGTTGTGTTTCCAGTCTTGCCGTGGCTTCCTCACCTGTAGTGTCACGTTTGATGTGGGTCCTTGTTAAGCAGCCTCCAAATGAATTTTATATTCTACTCTTCCTTTTTATGACCCAATTTTCCTGCTTCTTACCTGATTCAGAATTCAATGGATCACTTAAAATGTTACTACATGTCCATGGTTTTTATTTTGAATTTGAAGGGCTGGCTTTCTTTTACATTCTGAAAGAAGTGAAAAGCCGGGGCAGCACACTGCAAAATGGGGACAGTGAGACTGGGCAAGTAGCAAGTGAAATAAGCATGTGCAAGTCACTAATTATAGGTGACAGGACAGCTACTTCAATTGCAGAGTTTATAACTATCAGTACCGAGCTATAGTTAGAAATAAATTAAAATGAAATTACATCTTTGATGACAAATGGAGTTAACCAGTGGTAAATGCATTGATAATATACATATCAATAGCTTTAGCATGTGGAGTTGTACTAATGTATGCAAGGGATCTATCAAAATGCTTGACCCATATTAGGCACCTATAATGTAGCATGACTGTTGCTTTTGGTTAGTCATGATTTATGGTATGGCATATGAAAAATCTCACAAACACTAATATTTTAAAGAATTAGCTACCTTCAGAGGATGATAGAGAACCAATTCATTCTCTTGAAACTTGACTAAACTAATGAAGTATTTATCCTGCCTTTCCTGTATGAGCCAAATAGTAGTTTACAAAATAATAGGGTTACTCCAAAAAAAGAAACACATGTCTTTTGCAGCAACATGGATGGAGCTGGAAAAGATCATGCTTAGTGAGATAAGCCAGAAAGAAAAAGAAAAATACCAATGGTTTCTCTCATAGCAGGAGTATAAAGGGACCAGGCAAGAAAATAGTAAGAATAATGAACAGCCATATACCAGAGACATTTTATGGGGGTGGAGTGGGGGATGGGATCAAAAACAGTGGGGGGAGGGAAGTGCACTGGACTTGGTGATGGGAAACCCACGGGGATTACAATTGAGATGAAAAAAAAAAGTACAAAATTATGTAAAAATAAACATAATATAAAAAAATAATAGGGTTACTAAGTAGTAGATGAGGAAAGTGTCTCTTACTTATAAATTATACCAACTAATTCACTTTTTAAATGATGGAATTGAAATAGTATCATTTGTAATCCACAAGAATTAATAGATCAGGAAAGAAGAACTGTGCTCTCTACTGAAGGAGTAGAGGCTGAAGTAGCTTGAGGGCTGTCTTGTTCTTATTCACCCTCTGAACACCATTGACAATTCTCAGAAAATAAAAAGGACAGAATAGAGTGAATTGCACCCCAAGTGTGCTGCCCTGAAAATCCAGACTTGTGAGAATGAGTCAAATGGCCTAAGCCTGTTAACAAATTAGAACGGGGAAGGGTGAAAATTTGTCCATTAAAAGAGACAAATTACATATCAAATCTTGAAAATGGGTAGACAAGTTTCAGTGTCTAGGGATGTAAACCTAAATAGAAGCCCATAAATTCAAGATCATTCTGAACGGTCAGCATGGTGGCTATTATGGTAGCTGAGCAGGGCTCTGGAAGGCACTCTGGGCAGGCTGTCAGATGTGGCCATTAATCAGGGTGACTTTCGCAAATAATTTATTAAATGACTTGTGTTGGATGCAGCTTCGTGCATCTGTTATGTTTTTGTAGTAAAATGTTCTTTTAAAGCGATAAAAGAGTAAAGATGGAAGTAGTCAGTATCAAAAACAGATCTCCCAAATCATGTGCCGGGGTGCTGGGGGCGTATATGGATCCAGAAGCAGCAAGTTCTGGGACTCATTCTTGCGTCAACTACATGGCAAATGGTGACTGTTCAGTTCTAAAAATGAGCTCCTAGACAAGAGGATCCTCATCGTCCTCGGCAGCAGGTCACTGGGCATTGATTATTTTGTCCTCCTCTTTGCAGACTGTTTCAATCTTGGAGCAGCGACTGACTTTGACAGAGGACAAGTTGAAAGACTGCCTTGAAAATCAGCAAAAACTTTTCAATACTATCCAACAGAAAAGTTGAATAGAAAACTGTGAGCAGACTCACAATAAACGAACACATGCACATATGGGCAGGAAGGCAGAGCAAGACACTTCATGCCACAAAACCATGTGCCAATTTCCACGGCCTTTCTTAAAAGGATGAGCAACAGAACAAAAGGCAAATAAGGCATAATTAAGGATGAATTGAAACGCACGGATCAATGTCAAGGATTAATTCAAATCATTACCACTTACCATTGCAGAAATAAAATAATAAACATTCAGTGGACTATATTTTCCCCCAAATTATTTTAAATGTCAGTTTTCAATTATAGTCCATATTCTGTGAGGAAAGAAACCAAATCTTAGTATTTCATTGTTAAATCATTTCAAATTGACCTTCAGGTAATGCCCTAAAGCAATTAATGTATTTCTTTAATAAACACCCTTGGGGTAAAATAATTTATTTACCTCTAAAACAACGTTTTATAGTCAAAAGTAATTAGTCAATGATTTGACTTGTATTTCTTTCAGTTAAAGAAAAATTCTTTCTTGCTAATGTCATCAAAAATCATCCTATAAAATTCACAAAGTACAGGATTTGCAAAACAAGAATACACTTATTTCAACCAGCAATAGCACACACGGTATTTAGGGCGATGGCCTTATTTAGTATGTGATATCTGATTAGTTGACTAATCTGAAAGAAAATGAGCAATTAGAAGTATGTGAAGCACACATTTCTTTTGTAGATGAATGATCTGAATGATTTAAGTTGTATCTCAACCTTTGATCCCACTTTACAAAGATTACATTAGTGTGATTTCAGTACATTCAAAAGCCAGAATGATACAACGGTGGTATTTAAAAACACACACACATGTATCTTCACTTGCTTCAAAAATGTTGCTGAGGGTGATTTTGGCAACTGAATAAGTACCCTAAAAAAAATCCCCCTCACAGTCTTCCTATTTTTTTCATGAATTATGATTCAAAACAAAATTAAAATTAGCTAGACATTCTAAAAGATCTTGGTTACAAATTAATCATTCTGTTTTATCTTAAATAAGAGACTGAACTGAAGAAAAAACATTAAATGTATGTCTACCTATATCAATAACAAAGAAGATAGGAGAAGTCAGTCCATTATATGGTGGGTAAATGGAGAAAATGCTGTTGATGTTCTAGAAAAAAAAAAGTGAAGTCTTATTTATGTAGAATTCCACATTTAGAATTTTCAAAGTAACTTCAATTGTATCTACCATGTGGGTTTTAAGTGCTTTTTATATCCTACTAATAGTGAATTTTTGGACAGTATCAAGGGTTTATAAAGACTAAGTGGTGCGTATTTTAATAAGCTCATTGAGAAACCCAAGAAATGAAATGTCATACTAATTTTGTTTATTTTTTATATGCTTCAAACAATAAAACATTTTCTTTTAAAAGAAAGTTGTTCATTTTGTTTTAAGTGATTAAAACCAAAGTGTAGGAAACCATTTTTCATCTAGCTCACTCAACCTGAATATGCATAACAATGTCTTGGGGAGCGCCCTGAAACCTCGCAATTGATATTGAGGATATTGGGCTGAGGTCCATACCACGGACAGAAACCACTGGTGAAGCTATTAAAAATTAGATCTCAAGAAAAAAAAAATTAGATCTCTTGCTTGGGAAAGAGATGACAAGAAGGTCTGAAACTATGGGGCCAGCGTTCCCCCACATCCACTTTTTGTACTCCCCCTGCTCTGCTTGACATAACTATCTGATCTGACATGACCTATTTGATCCCTGTGGGCACTCAGCTTTTAATCCTGCCTGATTTAAGACATAGATATCCGAGTATGCTGCATGGTCTTGTAAGCCTGCCACCCTCTCTCCCTGCTCTCTGTGCTTCTGAGATTATTTCTCACTGCACACCGCAAGCATCTTGCCCTCAGCCCTGCTGAACTTTCCACTACTATTGGGATAAAGCATGCCATTCCCTTTACAACTACATTTGAACTAAACATACTTTTCCCCCTGTACCCTGCCAGGCTCTTTTCTTACGGAAAAGCCCTACTCATCCTTCAAAGATTACACACCTCCTTTTTACTGTTAATGTAGCATTCTCTGTATTTTTATGCTATGGTATAGCTTGCAATATAGTTGCAGTTCTGCCTTTTCCACACTTACATGAAGACTCTCATAAAGCCAGAACTGTCTTCTGAGGACCCCACCTGGCATGTTGTCATAGTAGGCGTTCTGTGCATAATGATTGAGTAAATGAGAATTTTCCTTTATTTATGTGGTTTTTAATATATTGCTCTTCATTTCACTTACAGCCCAAACCTTTAAACCCAGACTGAACTGGTAGGAAAAATAGCATAGGTAAAAGTTTAGATACTTGCTATTTGGGACCAAGTGGGTACTATTCTGGTCTGCTCTGTGTTAATTAATTCAGTAGTTACATGCACAAGTTTTGAATCCACATAGACGTGGGTGCAAATTTAGACCTTGCTTTAAGCAGTGTGACATTTAGAGCTGGTGCTTAGATCAGTCTTCCTTAACTCTAAACAGTGAAAACAATAATGTAGACTTTATTGGTGAAATGGTGAGCACAGTAACTTGTCACAGAGTTCAGTGTTGAATAAATGGTAGCCATTATTACTGTTAATCATTTTGTTTCTCTGGAGGGCATTTTCAAGCAATATTATTTCAAGTGCTACCTATAGGAAAGATACAGGCACTATTATGTGGTAATGGATGAAAATGTGATATGTAATCATAAGCATAATGTAGTGTTTTTTTTTTATCCCAAAAAAGTAAATATATAAAAGAAATAAACTTTCCATACACAGAAAACCTCAAGGTCCTTGTGAAACTCTGGCCATTATTCCCAGAGGAATTCAGTCTGAGACTATGAATGACATAATTTTCTAATTGAGGATTGAGAGAAGGGTCTGGAACATGAATCAAATAAGCACCATTGACTCACTGAAACCATACTTTGACCATTTGGAGAACTGGCATTATTTGTTTACTGCCTATTCTCTAAGGACAAACCAGCCCAGATCCTCAATTAACATTTCATCCATGTGTAGAACAGACTTCATTCTGTTATTCCCAATATGAATTCTGTGCACCCAAGAAGATTGGAAAATAAGCCATCTGTGCTTGGGTAAAGATATTTGGCTACTGAAAAAGAAAAAGATCCTAATATTTGGAGGTTTTTGACAAGTAATCATGCTCAACTAATGAGTAGCGGTAATAAATTTAATAACAATAGATGGATCTATAGCATTTCCGTAAGTGGAAGTATATATCACATATATCACTATATGTGTCATTTTCCTTGATAGCTTACACAGCATTTTTGCCTGAGCAAGCGATGAGGTTTTGGACTTTCATGCACCAGAGAACTGATGGATGTACATTGAATCCAGGGTCAGTGTAATTGCCAAGTAGGCCCCAACTGTGACTCAGCCAGGTCACACGATGGCAGCCTGGACTTACTGGGAAATAGTTCACTGGCTTGCCAAGGGGCACAGGATACTGGGGGTGCACAATTACTTTTTTTTTCCTGAAGTATATCAATTGCATTTTCTTTTGGGTCAACCCTTGAATGTGTTCCTATTAAAAATAAAGACCCAACTTGAGATTCTTACAATAAAGTAGATTTCATAACAAAACAGAATAACTTAAGCACCTCAACCTTCTAAATTTATAAAGCAAAAAGAATGTGATTGGAAATATGGCAGAAGTGCAATATAATTCAGAATATTAAAAATTCAGAAATAGACTAGTTAATGCATGTTATAAAATGAATAAGGCACACTCAATATGTGTAAAGAGCTACATGGGAATATAAGTAATGTGCCTTTTTGCCCAATTTTGTCAAACAAAAATTGGCCTTGTTCAGTTTTTGAACAAGATGTGAGACTATATCCCATAAGCAAGAAATATAAAAAATAGTTTACTGAACATTTTAAAGTTAATCATTAACCAAAGCTATTTTAAGAATGTTTCATTTCAAAAATAACAAATTAAAGCACAGTTAACATAAAATTTGATCATTCAGGTTTCCATTGACTATTTTTAAAAATAAGTGTGAGCTACAAACCAGAATGTAGAATTTGAGAAATTAACATAATTAACATTATCATTTATTTCAAGATTCTTCGTGACTCTTTAGAATTGCAACTGTCTGTACTTCTGGTCTAGACTAATGTTGGCAGGAGATAATGTGAAGATGCTTTGACATAAATCCTTTTCTTTTACCATCATACTTTAATCCTCTTCAGACTTGGTTTGGAATAAAACTTGTGTCTAGGTTGAATTTGTGAAGTAGCACATTGGGCGTCTTAAACTCAAAAATCTTCTGTGACCAGGGAACAAATCACCTTTCTCTCCTTCTTTATATAGTAGCTTCCAAGATCTGTCATTAAGAAAATCCATCTCCTGTCTTTCTTCCTGACCCTTTCATTGACTCAAAGGCATGACTTGAGAAGATGGGAATGGTACCCCTTGATTTTTAAGTATTTATTTCAAAACGATTTAGTGTTAACAAAATGATGCATGAAAAAACTTGAAAAATATCTTTTAAAAAGTCATAATTTATCACTTCCAGATGGAGAGCTCTGCCTTACTCAAAAACCATTATGTTTGTGGAAGCTGTTCCTGTGGCCAGGAGAGAGCACCATGAGAATTCTCACTTGGACAAGAATTTGTCAAGTTCTCCACTGAAAATGCAGGGAAGCAGTCCAGGGTTAGAAAGGAAAAGGGCTTCTCCTTGAGTTGACTTCAGGATACTTTTGTGGCTGGTAATTCTAATGAAACACTATCCCCACCTTAGGTTGTTTCCTCTACTTAATCCCCAAAGGAAATCCCTTTGCTTTTCAGAGATAAAAAGTTAATAGAACAAAGAGAAAGTCAGGGGAAGCGCCTGGGCCTTTTGCTATAGAATTTCACTGAAGCCCTTCCAAACCCAGCCTGGACCCCAAGGGCTGTGCTGTTTATCCCCACACCTGGATTGAATATCAAGGACTCTTTGAGAAGATGAATCATTTAGAAACCTGATGTTCTTGCAGGGGGCTGTTGCTTTTTTAGAACTCTAATAACAAGTGTGTCAAAGGCAAAAAAATCCCATAAAAAGTTCAAAGTTGCCTCTTTCTGCATCGCTTTCAGCCAATGTCAGAATTGCCAAGCATAGAGGCCCACCGAGACGATTGAGGTTGATCATTCTTTGTCTGAAAAGGAGAGATTAAAGACACAGCATTCAGGGCACGGAGAGAATAAACTGGTGGAGATGACAGCTCTCACTCAAGGGGATCCCTAAGACTTTCATCATCTTTGTTTTCATTTTCACCTTAAATCGAGTGATTAAGGCAAAAGAACAGGTTTGATTTTGAACCAGATGTGTTCATAAAAAATATATATATAAGCGATTGTGGTTGAGAAGAGTCCATCTTAGATGTTTCCAATACAGGACATCCTTATTCAAGGGAGCACAGCAAAGCTCAGCTCATACCCAAGAGCATTTCAAAATTCACAACCAGAAGTAGATCTACTATCAGTGTGAAAACTAAAGATGATAAAACCCTGGATTTTTTAAACTTTTACATAAGCGTCTGGTTTTCAACTCACAGCAATTGTCCAGTTGTTGTATAGTTAAAATGTCTTAAGACATCTTGTCAACCCCCCTCAGCACATTCTTTACCCAGTGAGTGCTGATCAGGTTGGTACTGGCTTAGTTGGAGATGCAAACTGGCATTCCACAGACATACTTTCTTTTTCAAAGTAGGTGCCAATATTTAAAAATCAAATAATTATACATGAAAATTTAGGTTTCTGGCTTCTGTTGAAAAGTTGGATGACCTGTTATGTAACAGACGAGCATTATTATCTGTGGACATCCCCTTTCACATGGCCATAGCTTCCATTCCAGCTGACCTGCTTGTCTCTGTGGCCCTGGCCTGCTATGATACATCGGGATCTAAACCACCTGGCTTATGTGTCCCAAAGGTCCTCAAGATCTGGTAGACTCAGAAATGGCGGGACTAAGGAAACACCTCCTGATTTGGGGGCCATGAGGCTACAGGGATGGGTAGATGCCAGAGCCCATGCCTAAATGGTGTCTTTACTCCTGTGCCCTCTTGCCCCGATCTGTGCTGCTTCCTTCAGTTTGTGTTTTATTTCAAAATGGGAAGTGTAGTTAAAAAACCACAGAGCCTTAAAATAATCACAGGTTCAGTTTTACAGAAGGGAAGAGCGCTCTCAATTTCTAGTAAGATTACAACGGAGTTAAAATTGGTGCACGAGAAAAGGCTTTGGCTAGTGGGGGCAGCCAATTTGTTCTTCTCCTTTCCAAAATGTATTTAATAATTACGATTAACTTTTTAAAAAAAGTTTTATTTATTTATGCATACCTAACTG